TCTGAGTTATATTTGATTTTAGATTGATACTTTAGAGACTTAAATCCATAACCCTACTTATAGTGAATGTGCCTAGGTTGGGTCAAAATTTCAAATTAAATCCAATTTTATTATGTTTAGTAAAAGCAAAAAATTATGTCTATAGCACAATAGCAGTCATGATTGTAAGGAATTGCCATGTTGGTGTTGGCATGGTAATAGGCAACAAAATTTTAATGATCACATATTGTTGTCATTCATTTTGAGTTTCCCATTTAAGTTAAAAAAATGAGGAGTTAAAAGTTTTATATTATAAGTTGAGAGGCAGATACTCTGATAGCCAGTAAAGTGAAGGGCTGGCCATAGATTTTCACCCACACCTTCACCAGTACGACTTCACCTTGTCCACCCAATTCCAGAGTCAATAATAATTGATCCCGTCTTCTCTTTAATTTCTCTATATTTATTCCCTATTCCCTCATTCTCCATTAATGCCCTTTCATATATTTCTCTTCTTTCGTTTATATATATCTTCTGCATCGAGAAAAGGATGCTGGGTCATATTGTGGGCAAATTCAAGGCACCTGCCGCCGGTATGGTTGGCGGGGGAAAGAAGGTCATGGGTACTGCTGTTTTGATGAAGAAGAATGTTCTGGACTTCAACGACTTCAATGCATCAATTAAAGACAGGTTTGATGAGTTGATCGGGCGGAAAGTCTCCCTGCAACTCATCAGTGCTGAGAATGGTGACCCTGGTGAGCTCTCTACGTGTTTGATCTTTTGTCGCAACCAAACATTTTTCTTCACTAGAAAGAAAGATCAAAAACTGGGTCTTCTACTTGTGTTCTTGGGTCTTCTGCAAAACTGACGTCTTGTTTAATCTATTAAAAGAACTGGTTTTTTTCTTTTTGAGTACATAGAGATGGGGTCTTTAGTTTATCTCATCCATAAAACTTCACTTGGAAGAAACGCACAGAAAATTAACATGGTTCTTTTCTTGCCTTCTTGCCTTCTTGGGTATCGAATCAAAGAAAAGGGTAAAGTTGGGATCTTTCTTTCTTCTTTTTTTTTTTCTTTTTCTTTTTCTTTTTCCATTTTTATTTCGTTTTTAATGATTGAAGTATTGAACTATTAATCCTTATAATATATGTTTAGAATTGAGTTTTCCATCAAATGAGAAAAAAAAAACAAAAAGGGATTTTGATTGGGTTAGTTTAATTTTTTTTATTAAGATATTAAG